ATAATGTAAGCACATATATATTATTGTTGAACATTATATACTAAAAATAAAATTAACGAATGCCAATTCTACATAAATAAAACTATACTGTATTATTGTGAGATAATATAATATAAGCACATATATATTATTTTTGAACATATATATTATTGTTGATAATACAGTTTTATTTATGTAGAATTGGCATTCGTTAATTTTATTGAATCCTATTTAGTATTGTTATAGTTTGCTCCCATGCATATTATACGTCCAGACTTCACGCAAAATGCGCTTTTCTTCTCTTTTTTTAAATTATTTCTTTTAATATTCTTATTCCAAAAACTGAGCAGGCGCCGTGTCTATAATGACTTTGAGTATAATTTGTTATCTCGTCTTGAAAAGCTGACCTCCAATGCTCCGCTATAGGATCTGGTTCATAAGGTTCATAATTTTGCACTTCCTTCCTCAAGTGATCATATTTGAAACTTTGCTTACTCCGTGCATTGTAAAACCTTTGAGAACCCAAGTCATTGTGTTCGATTATAAGCGCTGGATTGCACTTCCCTCTATCTGTATGTGAGGAAAAGAACAGAATTGTAATATTTAATTTAGTTTACATATCTGGTTTTATATGTGCTACTCAATGTTTTATATGTGCTAATTAATTGTACTTACTATCTGTTACTGCCAAATCTTTATAACCAATATGTTACGCTGTTTAGCAAAGTTCTTCAGCTGGGATTGCATACGGTATAAGACCGTATGCAATTCCAGCTGAAGAAATCCCAGCTATAAAAGTATACCGGTCTTCTTTTCGCTTTACCCTGCAAATAAGCGCTATAATTTAGATAATATTCAGATATAATCAAGAAATATACTTATAAAACAATAAATAAACATGTATAAGCAGGTATATATACAAAATTTTAATCAATCTACTTACTCGATAGCACCAAATATATTTTCTGCAACAGATTCAAATATAACCTTATAACCTTAACGTTTTATTATTATATCTTGACGTCGCGATGCTACCGCGTACCGCGAATATCGAGAAAAGATTGAGGAAAGATTCGTAAAAGCGGGTTGCGAAATACACGGCGACTACAGGATTGCAAAGACATGCAAAAATTGCCTGTTTCAACATCTACGAAAGAATGCAAAACTCATTCAATTGCCACATGAAGCTTGGGGATTTGTTGCGCAAGATCACCGCATACTATTTGTGAAAGCAGATAATGCTTTTACTATAAAATTGAATATGATCATTGATTCGAACATGAACGGAGAGATATATTTTAAACAAAAGCATATAAAGTGGCTAATACCTGAGCCAGAATCAGTGAGAGATGTTGTTGAAAGTCTAAATTGTATTGATAAACTCTCGGTTTTTCAAGGCACATAAATTTTTTAAATGAAATTAATAATAGCTTCCTCGAAGCAGCTTAATTGTACATAAAATGTTTGTGATTTGTAAAAATAAATGAAATCTTGTTTGTTTCATTTTCTTTACATTTTATAATATGTTTCTTGGATATTCTGCGTGACGATAGATTTGAGACAAACTAATAACAGATATATTACAAAACGCGCAGAAAAATTAATTAACGTCATGTGACACTTCGCGTAGCCATGGCTTAAAGAAATCGATATCTAACCATTGTTGTTTAAAACGTTTTCGTATTATTGTATTTGAACTTATATTATATTGTTATTATTTAATAATAACGATGCATTTTCTTTATGACACGCAGAATCCGCATGTCTTTTAACGTGCGATAAACTGCACGAAAAATTTTTATTACATATAATACAATGGAAAAGGCTATCATCAAATGATACTTTGCGTATCCAAGATTTAAATCGATCATCACTAAGCCAAGCTTCTGAAAAGCTTCGCTTCGATTTTTTTTTTAATGTATCACACATTTCTATATAGAATTGTCAAACAGATAAAAATATAAATAAGAATATAAATAAGAATGAAACAGATAAAAATATAAATAAATTTGAGGCTTACAATTGGGATAGTTCCAACTTTCTGAACATCAAGATTTTACACAAGAGCACTGTTTAGAGAAAGTTATTAAAACGAAGTAGCAGCGTAAAGAATTCGAGATAAATTTGAATTGATATAATCGATTTATT